AACACTCACTTTTTTAGCCCGGGTAACCTGAAGGCTAAGAAGGCTAACCCAGGGCACCGGCCCTGTCTTGCTGAGCGTTCCACTGAAGCTCTTACCAGACGTATCAAGAGGAGTAGTTAGGCTGCCACAACTTCTTCCAAAGAAATCATCATCTCCAAATCTTTCATCCCCAGCAGCCCCACTTTGTTACAGCAGCGTGAGCGAGCCCAGCAGTTCTTGGCCACCGTGGCCTCTGTCACAGCTTGCTTTGGGAGGCAGCATCTCTGTCTTCTTGCTTTGGCTCTGAGACAGTCATTTGTCAAGGCTGCCCAGAGAAACAGAAGCAATACAAAGTGTATATATATAGAGAGAGAAAGATTTGTTTAAGGAACTGGCTCACACAATTCCAAAGTCCAAAATCTGCAGAGTAGGCTGGCAGACCCAAGACGCGGGAAGGAGCCAGTGTTGCAGTTCGAGTCCAAAGGCTGCCTGCTGCAGAATCCCCTCTTGCTCAGGAGAGAGAGGCCAGCCTTTTGTTCCAGACGATCCTTCAACTGATTGGATGCGGTCCACCCAGATTATGGAGGGCAACTTGCTTTACTCAACGTCTGCCAATTCAAATGTGAATCTCATCCCAAACCCCCTCACAGGAACATCTAGAATAATATTTGATCAAATATCTGAGCACTGTGGCTGAGCCAAGTTGACACATAAAATTAAATATCACAGACAGGAGGCAATCCATCTTTCTTCCTCTCACCTTATTATATTCACAGACTATTTCCGAAAAGTATCCAAAAAACTTATCACCAAGGGCCTTAGGGTTTAAAGTAAAGAGAGACTTATTTTTTTCCCAGATTTCTTTTTTATGCCTGACTTTTTGCCATAAATATATATTGCTTTTTCAAATAAAAAATGAACTATAAAAAATGGACCAAAGTGATCATTGGATTGTATTTTATTGGCCACCTGCAAACCACTTTGTTCAGATCATGCTTTAAGGAGACAAGGTGAGTCCATGAGCCCACACTTAGGGATGTTCTAGGAACATCCAGTCAGTATTGTTGGCATCTGTTACACATCAGAGTCCTCTGTAGGCAGAGCCCAGAACCTCGAGTGCTGATGTTAATCCCAAGAATGGTTCTAATCTTTTTAGGTACCTGGTGGTTTATCCCCTTAGGAAGACTGAATCACGTTACAGACCGAAGTTCCCTTTCCTGTGATGGACACATCAAAGGGGTCACCCCCTCGACCAGACACCTCATGTGCACTTTTAACATCTATGCAGAATTTTAGGGCCTCGCTTTTGTCTTTCTCCTCTAGCCCTGTTTTTGTTTTTTTTTAACCTGTCATTATGGTGAGAATTTTCAAATATACACAAAAGAAGGGAACATGGCCAGCTGTATCCGTATGTCCCAATCACCCGACTTCAGCCATCAGTCAGTGACAGTCATTTTATTTTACACGCCCCTCCACACCTCCTCTCTAACACCACCAGACACTTGTTCATTTTTTAAAGATGAAATCTAATTTTCAGACGATAACATTTGCCCTTCTGAAGTGTACAATTCAGTGGTTTTGTGTGTTTTTTAGTATATTCACAAGGTGGAATCCTCACCATCTGTAATTCCAAGACCCCATACCCACTGGCAGTCACTCCCATCCTGCTTCCCCCCAGCTCCTGGCAACCAAAAAACTTAGTAATAACTCTTCAATGTCATCTAATGCATAGTCCATGTTCAGTGGTATCCTGTTAATTGAGTTAGTTGTTCTCAGCATATCCAAACAAGGCCTTCATACTTCCCATAGTTGGGATGACTCAGGTCTCTTTTGATCTATAACTGTTCCCTTCCCTCTGTTGTTTTTTTGCCTGTCATTTATTTGTTGAAGGAAAACAAGTCATTTTCCTGTAGAGTTTCATACATTCTGAATTTGACTGATGACAGCTTCATGGTGTTTATCGCCTGCATTTGCCTGTAAACTGGTAGTTGGCTATAAACACTTGATCTGATTCAGGACTCGGGTTTTGGCAAGAATACTTTATAGTTGATAGTGGGTGTTTCTCTGATGTGTCTGGAGATAGTGGGTGTTTCTCTGATGTGTCTGGAGACATACTCGTGTCTGGCTCTCTTTTCAAATTTAAGACTGATCTGTGAGTACAGGTGTTGCCTGCCTGATTTACTCACTAGGAAGTTCCCTGTCAGCCCTCCCCAGTGGTCTTGGCATTGACCACTGTTGCCTACATCTGTTACTGCATTAGGATGATTGGTGCCAAAAGATGAGGTTCTAATTCTCTTACTCCTGGTGCATTTATTAGCTAGAATTCATCTAAAATGTAGAGCTTTTCTTCATTATTCAGGATGATAAATACAGGAGGTAGATTTGGAGCTGGATGTGTGATTGTATAAATAACTGTATTAAAAAGTATTGATTGTTGGTTTACGGTCAGCAAAGGATCTCAATGATTAGCCAACTAAAGAGAACCAACTTTTACTGAGCAGCTACTAGGTGCCAGGCACTATGCTAGGGAAATCCTTGGGCATCCATTATAATTTAAAATAAAAATAATAATAATTCTGCAAAGTAGTTGTCATTATCACATTTAACAGATAAGGAAACTAAAGCTTAGAGGAGTAATTTAAATAAGGTCAGATAGCTGGAAACAGGTGTAAGAAGGGTGCAGCAAAATCATGAGTGACACGGAGCTGAGAGGGACAGTTGACAAGTCAGGTGACACAATCAATGTTGAATAGATGAAAATAAGAGAGCCCCACATATACCCCTGTATTAAAACCTGCTCTGGGATTAAAATCACTTGAGTCCAAGCTCGGAGAGATGTGGATCATCAGCACAGTGTGTTTAAAAATGACCTGGAGATATTAGCTTAGAACGACCCCCATATGGATCTTAGAAAAGCTAACATTGTATTAAGCTGCATTAATAGGCAAGATGATTAATAGGCTCAAAGCTCCGTTGAGATAATAATCGTAAATCTCTTGTTCCCTGTTGCATCCTCAGCCTCCGGCAGCAGATCTGGGAAAACATTCAGTAATTATCTGGATATAAACGGCACTCGGTACATATCTGTGATGCCGAGATGTATGTATTCAATCATTAACAGCGGCTTAAACACGATTGGGGTTCACTTGTCTTCCACGTGAGATTCCAAGCATACACCCCCAAAGGGCTGGGGACTCCGTGGCGCGGGGAATCCAGGTTCCCCATCTTAGCACCCGGCCATCCTTAAGGTGCGACTCCCATCCTGTGGTCCAGGGAGGCATCTCCAGCTCCCACCATCGGGCCTACGTCCCGGCCAGGGAGAAGAAGGAAAGGAAAGGGAAGGGAAGGTTCCCTTTGTCTGAAAGCCGCCACCCCGAGTCTGCTCACATCGTGCCTACTCACAGTCCTTGACCGGACTTGGAGACTCGGCAGATCTACCTGTAAGGGGGCTGGGACAAAGGCATCTTTAGCTGAATGCCCAGATGCCCAGATGAAGCTTAGGCGTCCTATTTCTGAAGGAGGGGGGAGCAGCAAGCAGTCAGCCTTCGCAGTCCTAAAACAGAGGTTCAGCCATGAATGGGAGGAGGCACAATGCCACTGCCACTGGGAAAAAGAAGTGGGAAAGCTGAGGAGCTGGGAAAGGAATGGAAAATAGGGAACGCCAACCTGGTCACTTTTATTTTCTCTGCAAAGTGGGACTCAAGAGTCGTGGCTGAGGGGCTGGGACTCTCAGAGAGCCGCGAAGAGAGAAGGTCTGCGAAGCCTCTCTCCCCACGGTCGTTTGTGATCTGTTAGGGTGGAAGAGCAGCCTGGTAGACACCCTGAGATGCTTCGAAGCACAGCTGTGCTTAGGGAGTCCTGGGTGCCATGCCCGCTCTGTGCTTAGCTGCAGAAATCTGTTTTTCTGTTAAATGGCCATTTTAATGCCCACCATGCCTGCCTCACAGTCCTGTTTTGAGTCCCACAGGAGAGCTGTGAGGAGGTTTTCTAAGTACCAAAGGTGGGGCAGGTGTGGATGGGCCTCACCGTGGAGGAATGGAGTTGTCAGGCAATGCTGAGCCTCAGAGGGAGGCAGGAAAGGGCTAGAAGGAGAGATTGTGGCAACAGGACTGTCTCCCACAGAGGCTGCCAGCACCCGCCGGGCCCGTCCAGGATCTGGGCTCCGACCCACTTCTGGCCCAGCCTCAGAACCCCTCTGCTGTCCAGCTGAGGGTAACGGGAAGGGACAACCCACCCAGCTGTCCACAGCTCTGGGAGTCAGCTCTGCTCTGTCTTAAATTACTATCACAGAGCCTTGGCTTCATCTCCTGCACTTGGCCTTGGAAGGTCTTCTGGGATCTCTCCTGACCCCAGGGCACCATGCTGTGTTCCTGGAGCCAGTAAACAGTGTGAGTTTCTCCCCTGGGCCTTTGGCCTAGCACAGCTCGCCTGTCCAGTGCATGCGTGCACACACACACTGCCTGCATGCACAATCATCACATACCACATACCACACATACAACACATGACACATATCACATGCACACACAAATACACTACACGTATATACCACAAATTAGGCTACTTTTTAGTTTAAACTCCTCTCCTTCCAGGGGCTTTCCAGAGCCTTCGGGCTAAAATCTAGCCCCTTACAAGCTATTGAGGCCGTCCGTAGCCTGTTCTCTGATGACCCTCTTCAGATACTGCCTCATGGGCCAGTCTGAACCCACTGGCCATCCCCACCCCATGCAGCTCCTTCTGCCTCTGCTTTGCCCTCCCTGAACCTCTCCAGAGAATCCCCCACTGGGCAGTCCCCCTGGAAGTCACATTTATTCTTTCAAACCGTGTTCAGCGCTCGCCTCCTCTATGAAGATTCCCCTGACTACCCAAGGAGTAGCTCCCTTCCTCTCCCACAGGCACGCGGTGGAACGACTCCTTCCCGATGTTAGTACCCCACCGGGCAGGGGGCCTTCTCAGTCGCTGTACATGGAGCACTGGGTCCTGGCGTTGGGTAGGTGCTCACCTTCTCGCCCTCCCAACAGATCAAAGTGGAAAACCAGCATGACTACCAGGACATCACCAGCATGGTGGCGATGGCCAAAACCTACGCCACGACCGAGGCCTTCATCGACTCCAAGTATGACATTCGCATCCAGAAAATTGGATCCAACTACAAGGCTTACATGTGAGTCCCTGGCGGGGACTGGGGAGCGGGGAGGAGGGGTGGGAGGAGAGTTGGGGGAGGTGAGACTGGAGATGCAGGTCCAGCCCTGTGTCCCCGGCCCCAGGCGGAGACCATCCACACATCACCATTTCCCCTTTCTTTCTCCTTTCCTGACCTTCTCTGGTCTGTGAGCTGAGGGCTGATGTTCCATCATGGCTTATCCCAGGGTGGAACTCTGTCTGCCCAGACGAGGGCTGTCTCTCCAGAGGAAGGAAGACACGGACATGTTTAGGGAAACTTTGAGCACATGCAGGACGCATGTCACAGGAGACAAGACTGAGAGAGAAACTTGGGGACAGATCAAGGAGGGCCTCCAAGGCTTCGCTGAAGGTTGTGGATTTCCTTCTACTTTCTTCCTAGTGGAAGATCTGGCCTGAATTAATAAAAAGGTGGCTCTGGGGCTGCAGGCTGCAAAGGGGCTTCTCTAGAACCGATAAGACCAGTTAGGAGACTATCTCAGAGTTCTCTGACTGCGAGCAACAGAAACCACCCCTGACTAATTTGATGGAGCTTTGTAAAGGGGATTTATTAGAAAACCATGGTTGTTCAGAAACTTAAAACAAACAACATCACTCAATTATCAGTTTCAGGAATATTGGGATCCAGGGCAGCCTCAGGGATCTAGGTAGCCAGAAGCCATAAACAACCTTCGTGGCACCCTGACTGGGAAGCGACTCTCCCCTAATCATCTTCAGGACTCAAGTCAAGATGGTGATTCCATGGAAACAGCGCTGATTAGTCCCAGTCTGGCCACAGCTTTTTGGTTAGAGAAAGGCAGAAAAGCAGCGTGGAGAGTCCCGCCGAGACAGCATGCAACATGGGCAGGAGCATGCCCCAGTGCAAATGGGGGAAAGAATGAGTGACAGAAAATCCAGCGCATCCACCCCAGGGGTGGCTCGGGCAAAGGGTGACTCACTCTGGTGCTGTGGTTATGAGGAAGAGTGGGGGTTCCTGACGAGCTGGGAGGGCTCTGTCTTTAGAGACATCTTATCTGCTCCGAGGCTCTCTGTCTCTCGCTTTGGAATGTTGTTGTTGGTTCCACTTGAAATGATGAGACCCCAGAGAGCCGACCAGTGCCTGCGTGCCAAGTGTTTACGGAGCCCTGACTGCGTGAACGGCTCCATACTGAGGGCTGCAGCGGCCAGCCGCCTGTGGACAGTTGGAGATCTCTGTGTGCTTCTGTGTGGCGGAGTTTATGCGCTAGGCCAGGGTCAGCAAACCACAGCCCACAGCCCAAATCCAGCGGCCACCTGTTTCTGTAAATGCAGTTCTATTCATCACAGCCATACACATCCACTGATGCATGATCTCGGGTTGCTTTTGCACTACCTGGGTTGCCCGGACAGGGGGTCAGCAAATTTTTCTCTAAAAGGCCAGATGGTAATGGGGGTGCCTTGCATGCCATATAGTCCCTGTTGTAACAGCTCTGCTCTGCCGTTGCCTGGGAAGCTGGAGAAGATGCAGGCAGTGGGCCTATTTCTTCCAAAGTGATGGAGCCAGTTCTCAGGGAACACTTCGGTCCTGTCCTTCCAATCGCTCACGTCCACCCATGAGCCAGGCCAGACCTGCCACTGCTCTCAGATGCCCTCGGGGTGATGATATCCCCTCCTCCCCGCCCCCTCGGAGTTAGGGAACATCCTTGTGCCCCAGTCCGGTGCATTCCTGAGGCCTCCACTGCCCCTCATGACATCACTTCCCTCCCCTCCTCATAGTTAGAGTTTCCACTTGACATTGACGACACCTTGGCCCAGCTTCTCTTCTTGAGGATTACCTCATTGCCGCATTCTTTATGCTGAGCCTTTCTTCCCTGACAGCTCCAATTTGTCATTAGTTACAGCGTTTCCTGGACCCTGAGCTGGCCCACATCCGAGGGAGGGGGTTCGTGTCAGACCTCAGGGTAGAGCCTCCTCTCCGCCCTTGACCGTCCACCCTCCTCGCTGGCCCACTCGCCACCCTGCGCTCGGCCTTTGCACTTGTTGCTTCTGGAGTGTCGTTCCCCAGTCCTCTCAGCAGATAGACCCAGGAAAGGTATGCGTGTACCTTAACCACGTACACACACCTATCCGACTGTGTCTAAAGCTAAATCGAGTTCAAGCTGATGCCTCAGACTTTCACGTAGTCCCACAGGGCTCACTTTGGCCTTCCCAGGTGGCTTATCCAACCTTCCCACTCCAACAGGGAAGACCCTGGCTCCCACCATCTGCCGTCCACTTACTTGTAAGTCCCAGGATACGTGCACAGCTGCAGAACCAATGCTCCGCAGCCCCATGGGAAATGCTTTACCAGCTGCAAGATAGGGCTTATGGACAGTTCCTTTTCTACTGAGTCACCAATCTCCACTCATTTCCAAGGTCACGTAGGCCGGCTCCTTGATCCCCAGCCCCACCGTCTTCAATGTCAGGCATTCGCAGCCCAGATAGAGAGATCCTTTTGCCAGTCTACATTCCATCATCCATTCCCGCAGCTGCATCACACTGGGGCCAACCGACTCTCTTCCCCAAGCCTGTGATGGGCCCTGCCGTGGAGAGTCGTCAAGAGCGTGGAATTTCAGATACGGCCTGGTGGCTCTGCCACTAAGTGGGAATGATGATAAAATAATGTCCATCTCATTAGGTTCAGTGAGGCTGAAATAAGCCAGTGCTTATAGAGCCCTCAGACCATGTCTCACACATAGAAAGCACTCGTTAAATGTCAACTCTCACTGTCATTATCTGCTTGGAAGGAGAGCAGTCTGGCTCTGGTCCCGCTGCTCCTGGCGTTTGAATGCCTTCTTTTCTTGTTTCCACTCACTGAAAAATAATAGTAGCACCCGTTGTACTAAGAGATTCATGGGAAGATTTCCTTCAACCCACATTATACCCTGTAAGGATGGTACTTTAATTATTCCCATTTCACCAGTGAGACAAAGACTCAGAGATGTTGACCATAGTGATACAGCTAGAAAGTGCTGGAGCCAAGGTTCAAGCTCACATCTGTCTGACTCAAGTCAGCTTTTACCTTCTCTTACCCCAATATAGGTCCCAAGATAACAATCCCTACTCATTCTCCAAGACACATCTCAATGGCCACCTTCTGGGGCCACAGTAAGTGACTCTGGTTTCTTCTTTGCTTCCCCAGAGCTCTTCTCTCCTTATGTAGATCACTAACCCTACCATGCCTACCCTCTGGCTTTAGGCCAGTCTGCCCTTCTAGGCAGCAAGCAGCCTGGGGAGCTGTCATCCCTGCACACTCAGTGACAGATGTCCCTAATTCCCTCCCTGTATTATTGGTTCTGATACAGGAGAACCTCCATCTCTGGGAACTGGAAGGCCAACACAGGCTCTGCCATGCTGGAGCAGGTGGCCATGACGGAGAGGTAAGACACAAAGAAGGTGCTAAGGGAAAAGCAGCAGCCGCAGTGGGAGATGGGTGAGGAAGACAAGGGGTCTTTAAGGAATGCCACCTCGCCCTCTGGCTGGTGCCTCACCACCCACAGGGCACCTTCCTAGGCATGGTCCCCTTTACTGCCCATAACAACCTGCAGGGCAGGTATTATAATCACCCCATTTTTGAGATGGAAGAAGAAAGTTCAGAGAAGGAACGTGACTTGTCCAGGGTCACAGAGCTGATCAATAGAGCTGAGAATAGAACCCTGATCTCTTGACTTCAAATCCAAGGGTCTCTGCCCAGCTGCTGCAGAGGGAGAGCAGGGAGTCCTTGCCAGCCCCTCCCTGCTCAGACAGCAGCTTGGAAGCATTCTGGTAGGGGACCAGGCCTATTGGAGTAGCCAGTCCTCTCTCAGACTTATTTCCATCTCAGTGTGAGGAGGGAGAGGTTGGTTTCCTGTGAATCACGACTGTGGCAGCCCTGTGCTCTGGCTGAAGGTCTGTCACATCTTTCTCCTTGAAACAGTGCTGTGAGCCACCCTCACCTGAGAAAGGGTCAGTCGTCTGCTCTCAGGGTCAGCAGCTCGCAGGCCCATACACACGCACATGCACACACACTCCCGCAGCTTTCCTGCATGCCCGGGCTGGAGGCAGTCATGGACCCCATGCTCCAGTCTCTCCCACACTGCTCCATCTGTGAAGTCCCTTTCTTGGCCCTGGTGGAGGGGGCAAGGCTGTTCCCCATGGGGTGCACTCCAGTAGGTGACCCAGAAGTTCATCGTTTGAAAGCGACCTCTAGAAACCAGTTGCCTCTGGCCCTAGGGCCAGACGTCCATCCTCCATTGAGAAGAAACCTGATTCAGGAGCGTGTCTCAGGGCACCGTCCTCCCTAAGCTGGAGGTGCCCCACAGTCAGCCATCGGTGCCAAATACTGGCACCCAGATCAGAGGGCCCAAGGGGCTCTTAGAGCTCCGAGGACCAAAGCTGCCCCCAAATGTGGCTGCACAATAGAATCACATGGGAAACTATAAAAATGTACAGAGATTATTCTAACATAGGGCAGTGCCCCCAAATCAGGCTGTCTGTGTGTGTGTTTGCTTAATTCTCCTAGTGATTCTAATGTACAACCTGAGTCAGACCTAGGCCTTCCCATTTTTCAGATAAGGAAACTGAGGCTGCAAGCAGGAAAGGCTCACCCAAAATTATAGAGGGAATTAACAGCAAGCATCTGGGTCACTGGTCTCCCATATGGCGGGAGGACAGTCATGATGTTCTGACTGAGAGGAAGGGTGGCTTCGCGGACTGTGGAATCAGATGAGATCTGGGTTTGGAAGCCGCACAGTCACTTCTTATCCCCTCTGAGCCTCAGTCTCCTCATCAGCAAAATGGGTTAAACCTTCCTGATAGAGTTGTGGGGGTTAGAAAAAATGAGGAGTCAGCCCCTACAGGATGCCTGGCACATGTTAGGAGTTTAATAGGCATGAGTTTTCGCCCTTCCTTTTACTTCTATGATCTCATGTGCTACAGCTGAATGAGAGAATTGAACTAGGAGCCAGGAGATCTGGGTAACCCAGGCTCTATTACCATCTTGCTGTGTGACCTGGCCAAGCCGCTCTCCCTCTCTGGGCCTCAGTGGGCACTGGCAGATAAGATGAGAGCGTTGTTCTAAGAGCACTTGAGCCATGATCTCTCTTCATTCCAGGCCTATGGCTCAGAGACACAAATAGATCTCAGAGCAGGCGTGCCCCGTGTGACCCTGGGGAGTGGGGAGAGAAGCAAGAACATTGACACAAAGTCCCCTGTGACTCCCAAATTCAGCCACCACAGGGGAAGCCAAGTGCAAGCCCGAGAAAACATCTCAGATACAACCATCCCCTTGTTGCAGGGGCAGAGTCCAGCATGGAGCTCTTTTCCCTGCAAAGCAAACTGGCCTCGCAGCCATCAAGTGGCTGGAAAGGGAACAAAAGCAGCAGGTCCAGAGGGCCAGGCCCCTGGCCCCGGGAGCAGCCTGCTGGGCTCCCTCGCATGCCCACCCCTGGCTCAGGGCAGAATGTGCTCTTTGTCCCCCTGCAGGCTCTCGTCTAGCCTGGTCGCTGGGGCTGGGAGGGCGGCTAGGGAGGGATTTCTGAAGCCCTCCAAGCAGCTTTCCCAAGGGAACAGGACAGCAGGGGTGACTGGGTGTCCAGAATGGCTCTGGATGGGGGCAGGGCAAGCTCCCCACTACTGTGGAGCCAGCAAGGTTCTGGGGTGGGATTTCTCCCAATTATTCCTGCTCCCCTTGGCCATCCCTCCCTCCTGCCTGCCTGGCTCCCTTTCTATTCCCTCTCTCACTGTCCATCTGTGTCTCTTTTTTTATTTTTTACCATTCTGACTCTTCCACTGCTTGTCTCTCCCTGTCTCTGTCTCTCCTCTCTGTCTTTCTTGCCACATGTAATTTCTTACCATCTCTCTCCATCTCAGAATGGGTGTGTGTCACGCTCTCTCTCCCTGCCTGTTTCTCTGTGTGTTTCTGTGTCTCTCCATCTTTCTGTCTCCATGTGTCTTTCCCTCTGCTCCCCCTTCCCTGCTCTCCGCCCCCAATACTCACTCACTGTCTGTCCATCCCTGCAGGTACCGGCTGTGGGTGGATAGCTGCTCAGAAATGTTCGGCGGCCTGGACATCTGCGCGGTCAAGGCCGTCCACAGCAAGGATGGCAGAGATTACATCATCGAGGTGAGGGAGGAAGCAGAGAGCCTCTTGGCCTGGCCCAGGCCCCTGGCGGGCTGCCCGAGGGAAGGAGCCCAGGCGTGGTCTCCAGCGTGGCCGGCGGTGTCTGACTCGTGGCCTGGGCACCTGCAGCCTCACACGCATCCCCATCACCACCCTCAGCTGTGTCTAAAGCCTTCGCGCCCAAGGCTTCTGAGCTGGGCCTGCAGAGCTCCCGGCACGGGGCTTGACAGCATTGCCTGGCCCACGGGCCACAAGGAGGGCGCGAACGTGAGGCTGAGAGTGGCGAGATGCTGTTCCACTGGGCCTCTTAAATTTTCTGTGTCCAGCTGCGCACAGTCACCGCGCCGAGTTCCCATCGTCTGTTCATGCAACAAACGTGCACTCCAGGGCTCTCATCGGCCAGGCTGGGCGCAGCTCTGGGGACGCGAAACAGACCTGGGGTGTGCAGCTGGCAGGGAAGAGGGCTGATAAACAAGTGCTGGCAGGACACTGAAGGGTAGGAAAGGGGGCGCGGCCGTGCAGGGGTGCGGAGAAATGTAGATAAATTAATTGTACGAGAGAAGTTCTAGAGGGGCCGTGGGTCCTAGAACCTCGCCCACAGTCCTCCTGCAGCCCATGTCTCTCAGGCCCACAGCGCCCTGCTTCCTCCAGGACAGTCACCTACGTGCCCCTGCTGTCCTATACCCTCTCCCCACCAACCTCTCCTCTGTGCTTCTCCCAAGCCCACAACGCCCCTCTCTCCTCCAACTCCTCTGTGTCTCTCTGCTCCCACAATGTTCCCCTCTGCCCCCCAACTCCGCTTCCCTGTCCCCACCACCACAGCTCGTGACTCTCCACTGCTGTCCCCTGAAAATTGCCCTCAAAGTTTTCCCTTCTTTCCCTGACTTTACATCGAGCTCGCACCCCCCACGTCCCCAAAGCACCGTCTCATCCCCCCTCCCGGGGCTTCTCAGACCACAGCAGAGGCCGGCGGG